GGGGATAGAGATGAATGTCCATTTTGTATCTTTGTATTCAAAGTGGTTAGGATAGATATATAGTTACATTCTCCTAATGAATAGAGGAATTTGTTCTAATGTTGTTTGTAAATAGGATATCATGTCCACATCTTGTATAGCAATTAACCACTAGGAAGAATGTATGCAATGTGTTAAGTATTGAAACTGTCCTACCAATTTGGTTTGAAACTGTCTCATTGCTATTTGTTCCTCAATAAAATTATGGGGAAAAAAATGCCCCTTAGGAAAAAATGGTGTAACGGCAGGGCTGTGGCCTTCTCAGTCATTACCAGAGCAAGGCTGGGATGGGAGAGGAGAGTCACAGGGCGGCCCTCTTTTATTCTCACTCATCTTTGGTTCCCGTGGGGAGAGCCAGCTTGCTGCTCTAACCCCCACATCTGGAGCTTTCCCACAAGGAATCCAGACAGAGGACAAATCAAGGTCACCTCTTAAGCCAAAAAGCACCTGGAGCTCTGGGCCAGAGCCTGCTGTGGCCACACCAGGCCCCAAGCTCCGGAGTACTCACTGCTGGCCGCCAGGTGGGCTGGCTTCAAAGAGTCCACTGGTGAGTGTGCCAAAGCACAGCTTCTGTTGTGAGAGGCCCTGGCTCGGATCCCCAGCACCACAAAGAAGAAAACTTTCTGGATCCTACTCGGGGGACTCTAAATCTGAAGCCTGCAGCAAGGAGGCAGAATCTCAGTGTTCAACATGAGCCACAGCCAGGCCGGGGACCCTCTGTGAGTCCCTGTCCCCAACAGTGTACCACTGTGCTGGGTTGAGGGTGTGGGGGCCTCTGGGACTTAACAGTCAGTGCTTCAATCCCAGTTCCACTGGGATGATCAACCTCCTCCCAGACCTCAGTTTCCTCATCTGTAAAATAATACCTGCTGACAGAACATGGGGACAGCTGAATGAGAAGTGATGGCATACAGCAGGTAGCAAGCAACCCACTTTGGAACAGGCCCTCATAAATGGTTAGAGGCTCAGCCACTATCACCACTGTGCTCACATCAAATGGAAAACAACAAGGCCTTCCTGACAAAAAATGTGGGTTCAAATCCCAGCGCCGCCTCTTATCAGCTACCTGACACTGGGTAGCCAGCTGCAAATCCCTGAATTCTAGCCAGTCTTGGACATGACAGGAATAATCCCACAGCATGGAACCCGGGCTCTGTAAGGAGACAATGTGAGGCCTTCCCAGAGGACAAGCCTCAGTGTCTGCTCCTTTGTGACTATCAGTAGAACATGGAGGTCTCTTCCCTTCCAGGAAACACGAAGCCTCAAGAGGACAGGGCTGCATTTATGCTTTCCTTCCTCCCAATAACCCAGACAGTTGCCCCTTTCATGAAAGCACACAGCAATCTCCTGACAGCGCCTGAGGCCTTGGTTTCCCCCTCTGGGAAATGGGCTACTGTACGCATTGCATTGAGCTGTTGAGAGACTGAAACGTTCGGTCCTGTCTGTACAGCATGAGGAAGGACCCTAAAGGTGGTTCTTCCACCTCCAGCTGGGAGAAGGGGCCCCTTCACCCACACCCTGGGCAGGGCCCGCCTGTACCTTTTCGATGACCCGATCCCCACCAAAGCGTGTGACAAACTCAGCTGGGGAAGCCACGGTGAAGTCTCTGTGCAGGTCCAGCTTCTTGTGCTCTCGGCCCCTCTTCACCAGGTGGAGCCCAGACATGCTTGGTCTGCAGAAGAAGGACAGCGCATGAGGGGGGAACCCGGGGGACCTCGGGGGTGGTGTGGAGCCAGGTCTGTATTCAAGGATCCACGAGTCTGCCATCGTCAGGCATATGTGAGAGCTGTGATGTGCCAGATTTATCCTCTCATTGTGGTTTTCCTGGAGTTAATGATGCGTCTCCTTTATCTGGTGTCCCACTATCGCTCATTCATGCCACTCCTAGAAGGTTCCCAGTGCACGAAGGACACTGATCTGCTCTACCAGCTGGTGTTATCCCTCCCGGGCTACTCTGCCTCATTTTACCTGGTATTCTGGATGTGTCTAGATGTCCCCTCCCCAAAGCCTCATGCGGTCATAGGTGAGGCCTTTTCAGAGGTGGCTGGATCTAAAATGTGTGATGCTGAGATTGATTCTGGAATCGAGTCATGCTGCAGTGACAGCCTCAAGGGCACTAGGATTAAGGGTGTGAGTGCTACCCACCCTCAGTAGCCTGAATAAGATATAAGGGACAGAGGGGCTGGGGAAATAGTTGGGGCTGAAGAGCTAGTTCAGGGCATAAGCACCTGCCTGGAAAGAAAAAGATCCTCAGTTCAATCCCTGATACCAAAAGAAAGAAAGAAAAGAAAAAATATAAGGTACAGAAAGCGCTGTGGTCAGCCCTTGCTCGTTCTGTGACCTTCTGCCCCGGATAATCTGCTTTACCACACCACCCTGCCTTAGAGCCAACCACCTATGGAGAAATCTTTACAAACCATGAGCTAAATATACCTTTCCTCTTTGACTCTGAATGTTAGATATTTTGTCTCAGTAATGAGAAAAGTAACTAAGATACCTGGTCTGGCTGAATTGTTTTGTTTTGTTTATTTGTTTACAGGGGCAGGGACAAGTACTGGAGGTGAACCCAGGGGCTCCACACTGAGTTACATCTCTGGCCCTTCTTATTTTAAAATTTTGAAAGAAGATCTCACTAAGTTGCTAAGTGGCCCAGGCTAGGCTCAAACTTGTAATCCTCCTGCCTAAGCCTCCCAAAGTGGTATGAATAGAGATGTTGGGTCACTATGTCTGGCTTCTCTATTGTTTCCACAAGTCCTACAGCTAGGATGTTGAAACTCTTAGACTGGCTCACTAGGTTCTGTATTTACCCCTTTCCTCTTCTCTCTTTCCTTCTACCTTGGGGTGACTTTCTCAGCCTTGTGTTCTAGGTATACAGCAGAATTCTTCATTTTGCTCCCACATATTCAGAGTTCCAGGCTTGTTTTTAGTCGCAAATGTTGCCTTTGTTCAGCATCCTGTTCCTTTGTATGCAACATCCTGTCTGACCTCAGGGAGGACATTAATGACAACATTTCTAAGTGTTCTTCTCTAGCAGGGTTTCTGTGTCTCCCGGGTTCTCTACGTCTGCCTGTTGGCTGGTGTGGGCTCTAGCTCCCATGCTGTACCCAAGGGCTGAGGGCGCAGCTCCGTGGTAGGGCACCCACCAACATGATGAGGCCCTGGGTCATATCTGCAGCACAGAAGGTGAGGGGAGGGCTCAGCTCCCATTTGGGGTCAGTCTGGGTTAAATCATTGTGCCCAGTGGGAACTAAAGTCTGGCACACATTGGGGTGCTGGCTGACCCTGAACTGGATGTAGGTGACTAGGGCATCGTGTTGGCGTTCACTGAGATAGCTTCAGAGGAGTTGTTCTTTGTTGGTCAGATTCCCCTGGGAAAAGTCTTCTGGTCTTCTGCCAGGCCCATACAGGCCAGCCAGCAACGTGGGCCACAAAACAGCTTTGAGGGCTCAGCACCCATAGAGACCCTTGCCTAGCAATCTCCAGCCCCACACCCTGCTGCTTTTCCCCGCTCTAAAGGATGACTCACCCACCACCTACCCACCTGCTTTCTGCTGGGGTCCAAGTGGACAGCCCTGGCCACATTACCAATGGTAGGGACCTGGGATGAAACCACCCAAAACTTCACTACCTTCTTCTTCCTCAGTTCTAGCCCCTGTGCCTTTAGGGAGTTCTGAGATGCAGATCCAGGGACCAGGGGGCTCCCAGAAGACCATTTACTGCCTTATTGATCTGCTTTCTAGCATTCAAAATATTGGTGATCTCCCTTCCTATTCCTGAGGTGTGAGTTTTGATGGGTTTCCAGCTTCCTTTTTTTTTCGGCAGAAACAGGGATTGAACTCAGGCCCTTGCACTTGCCAGGGAAGCGCTTATTCTACTGAGCCATCTCCCCATCCCCTCCACCTCCTTTTTAAAAATTTTTATTAGTACATGTTTGCAGTGGACAATGATTGCATTCAGCGTAGGGCATTGACACATGTACACAACACTGCTTAATTCTTTTCATTTCTCCTTCCCTCCTCTGCCCATCTCTTGGTACCCTTCCCATTTGCGGATCAATTTCTCTAGTTCCCATTTTTGTTCTTTAAAACAACAACACCTCTTCACCATCACTTAGTGAGGTCTGGAAGGTGCAGAATGAAGTGTGAGCTTCCAGTGGGGAACCCAGGCTGGGAGCCTTCCACCAGGATGAGGGAGAGGCGCACCACGCCATAGTATGCCCAGCAACTATATGGCATAAGGCATCCTGGAGGCCAGGAGGGGATGAGCTCAGGGAGCCCCAAGTTTTGGTAAAGAACTGATTCATCCCAGAGAACACCACCGGTAGGGACCATCTACTGTTGGAGCAGAGAACAGTAAAACCTGAGGCCAGTAAGTGGTCAGGGACACAGAAGGCCATTTTACAGACAGGCAGACTGAGGCCCAGCCAGGCAAAGAAAGCCACTAAGCAATTTCACCAGCAGGCCCAGTATGTCCTCCCACGTGTTCTTTTATCCAGTAAGCTGGGAAAATGGGAGGGGTGTTTTCCGCTACATAAAGCATAGGCATCCAATGCAGCCTGTCCCAACCCCAGAGTGTCCCACCAAAGGCTCTGTCCATCAGAAGTAAGAAAGTAGACCTTGAAAACAAGAAAAAAGAAACTGGACTTTGAAGCTCAGGAAATACAAAGAGAAATTAATGTCAGAAATCACCATTTTTAAAATCCCACAATCAACAGGATATGTATTTCCAATGAAGACTTTCTCTGCCTGGTTGGGCTCGTTCATGGTGCCCGGATGAAAGAAATGATTAAAGGAAATGACTTCTGCCCTTGAGACAGCCTCTCTGTTTCCTGCAGATTGTAAACAGCTTTTCTTCTAAAACCTCCTCCAGGGCTGGGGAGACAGCTCAGCGGCATACACGCCTTCCTGGCAAATGCAAGGTCCCGAGTTCAATCGCCAGCACCAAAAAAAAAAAAAAAAAAAAAAAAAAAAAGAAAGAAAGAGGAATGGAGCACCAAAAAAAAAAAAAAAAAGAATAAAAATTAAAAACTAATAAAACCTCCTACAATTGTGCTGCTGACCGGAAGTGGGCCTCAGAGGAGTACTTTGGAAGGTCATTATCATCTTGCAAATGTGAGCAGTGCTTTTAGTATTCCCAAATACAAAAAGTTCAGCTTGTTTCTGAGAACTGTACCTATCTGTAAGAACAGGCAGAAGGACCTGGGGGGCCGTCATTTGCAAATCCTAATTTAGTGACAGACGCTCAAGCATTCACAGTTCTGCTGGGCTGAGATCACACCCCTAATCCCAGCCTTCTGGGAGGCTGAGGCAGGAGAATTGCGCAGTTGAGTGCGGCACGGACAACTCAGTGAGAACCTACCTCAGAATAAAAAAAACAAAGGATTTGGGGGGATGTACCTCAGTGCAAAAGCTCTAGATTCAATCCTCAGTTCTACTCCCCCCAAAAATGTAGTAAGTCTTACATTGGGGAGGTTGAAATATGGTGGGTTGTGTTTTCTTCTCTTTGCCTGAGTCTTTTTTTTTTTTAAATGCCTGTGAAAAGATACTATTTTCAATAAGAAAAAAATGCTAATGTTGTCACAGAGACACCCAAAGCCACAGCTATTTCAATGTTCCTTGAGCAAAGCACTCCATTTCTCCATCTGTAAAATGGAGATAGTAACATATACTTTAATAAACATAGTCATCCACAGAAATAAAATAAAATTGTAAGGATAAGTCCACAGATAGAAAGTAAAAGACAGGGCCAGGGAGATGGCTCAGTGGAATAAGTGCTTCCCTGGCAAGCATAAAGGCCTCAGTTCAATCCCTGGTTCTGCCAAAAAAAAAA